ACTAGCTAGCTGCAACCAAATGGATGTTGTTGTTGGATAATCATCATTGAGCTAGCCTTGAGCTAGCCTCGAGTCAGGCACATCTCCCGGCTATCTACCTCTCTGTCAACCGGATGGGACCTCCTAGAGTCGACACGGAGCCCCCGTCGATCCATCACGACTGGTCTGCCGACGTAATCGTCTGTGGTTTCAACAGGCTTCCTGTTGCAACGACTACAAAGATCCATCTGCTAGCCCCAGCCCGCTAGCACACGCAAACAACAGCCGTGCTTCCTGCTCGCTGTGCTGTAGCACCAATTCGAACTGCTCTCGGACTCACATATTGCTGTTCACTGGACCTTATGATCACTCAGCTGCACAGCTGATGCCTGCTGGACTGTTCCTTTACACAGTACCCTGTCCTGTTTATCTGTTTAGCCTCAGCCCAAACTTTCATCGACATTAGCAGTTGTTGTCTTAGCTCTCTCTAATAACACCTGTGATTGCTTTATGCCTCTCTCCCATGTCAATATGCCTTGCCTATTGCTGTTCCAGTTAGTTCTTATTATACAATTTCACTGTAGAACCCCAAGTCCCTCTCAAACTGCCTCAAATAGTTCCTTTGATCCACTCCCCATACACGCCGAGACCGGCTCAATCGGTGCCTCCAGTGATGCTATCTCTTTCATTGTTACCTAACGCTTAGGTTTACCTCCACTACTCATATCCTTCCATATCCTTGTCTGTACATAATGCCCTGAATCTATTCTACAACGCCCGGAAATCTGCCCCCTTTATTTTCTGTACCCAACACACTAGAATACCAGTTCTTAAAGCCTTTAGCCGTATCCTTATTCTAGTTCTCCTCTGTTCCTCTGGTGATGTAGAGGCTAACCCAGGCCCTGCAGCCCCCAGTATCACTCCTACTCCCCAGGAGCTATCATTTGTTGACTTTTGTGACCGTAAAAGCCTTGGTTTTCTGCACGTTAACATCAGAAGCCTCCTTCCTAAGTTTGAGTTATTCACTGCGTTAGCACACTCTGCCAACCCTGATGTTCTAGCAGTGTCTGAATCCTGGCCTAGGAAGGCCACCAAAAATGCAGAAATGTCCATCCCCATCTACAACATTTTCCATCTAGATAGAACTGCCAACGGGGGTGGAGTTGCAATCTACTGTAGAGATAGCCTGCAGAGCTCTATCATACTATCCAGGTCTGTGCCCAAACAGTTTGAGCTCCTACTTCTAAAAATCCACCTTTCCAGAAATAAGTCTCTCACTGTTGCCGCTTGCTACAGACCCCCCTCAGCCTCCAGCTGTGCCCTGGACACCATATGTGAATTGATTGCCCCCCATCTATCCTCAGAGTTCGTACTGCTTGGTGACCTAAACTGGGATATGCTTAACACCCCGGCCATCCTACAATCCAAACTAGATGCCCTCAATCTCACACAAATTATCAAGGAACCTACCAGGTACAACCCTAAATCCGTAAACATGGGCACCCTCATAGATATCATCCTGACTAACTTACCCTCTAAATACACCTCTGCTGTCTTCAACCAGGATCTCAGCGATCACTGCCTTATTCCCTGCATCCGTAACAGGTCAGCGGTCAAACGACCACCCCTCATCACTGTCAAACGCTCCCTAAAACACTTTAGCGAGCAGGCCTTCCTGGATGGATATCGATCTCATTCCGTCAGTAGAGGATCCCTGGTTGTTCTTTAAAAGTGCTTTCCTCTCAATCTTAAATAAGCATGCCCCATTCAAAAAATGCAGAACTAAGAACAGATATAGCCCCTGGTTCTCCTCAGACTTGACTGCCCTTGACCAGCACAAAAACATCCTGTGGCGTACTGCATTAGCATCGAAAAGCCCCCGCGATATGCAACTTTTCAGGGAAGTTAGGAACCAATATACACAAGCAGTTAGGAAAGCAAAGGCTAGCTTTTTCAAACAGAAATTTGCATCCTGTAGCACTAACTCCAAAAAGTTTTGGGACACTGTAAAGTCCATGGAGAATAAGAGCACCTCCTCCCAGCTGCCCACTGCACTGAGGCTAGGAAACACTATCACCACCGATAAATCTACAATCATCGAGAATTTCAACAAGCATTTTGCTACGGCTGGCCATGCTTTCCACCTGGCTACCACTACCCCGGCCACCAGCTCTGCACCCTCCGCTGCAACTTGCCCATGCCCCCCCCCCCCCCTGCTTCTCCTTCACACAAATTCAGACAGCTGATGTTCTGAAAGAGCTGCAAAATCTGGACCCCTACAAATCATCTGGGCTAGACAATCTGGACCCTTTCTTTCTAAAAATAGCCGCTGAAATTGTCGCAACCCCTATTACTAGCCTGTTCAACCTCTCTTTCGTAACGTCTGAGATCCCCAGAGATTGGAAAGCTGCCGCGGTCATCCCCCTCTTCAAAGGGGGTGACACTCTAGATCCAAACTGTTACAGACCTATATCCATCCTGCCCTGCCTTTCGAAAGTTTTCGAAAGCCAAGTTAACAAACAGATCACCGACCAATTCGAATCCCACCGTACCTTCTCCGCTATGCAATCCGGTTTCCGAGCTGGTCATGGGTGCACCTCAGCCACGCTCAAGGTCCTAAACGATATTATAACCGTGATCGATAATAGACAGTACTGTGCAGCCGTCTTCATCGACCTGGCCAAGGCTTTCGACTCTGTCAACCACCGCATTCTTATTGGCAGATTAAATAGCCTTGGTTTCTCAAATGACTGCCTCGCCTGGTTCACCAACTACTTCTCAGATAGAGTTCAATGTGTCAAATCGGAGGGCCTGTTGTCTGGACCTATGGCAGTCTCTATGGGGGTGCCACAGGGTTCAATTCTTGGGCCGACTCTTTTCTCAGTGTATATCAATGATGTCGCTCTTGCTGCTGGTGACTCTCAGATCCACCTCTACGCAGACGACACCATTTTGTATACATCTGGCCCTTCATTGGACACTGTGTTAACAAACCTCCAAATGAGATTCAATGCCATACAACAGTCCTTCCGTAGCCTCCAACTGCTCTTAAACACTACTAAAACTAAATGCATGCTCTTCAATCGAACGCTGCTGGACCCCTACAAATCATCTGGGCTAGACAATCTGGACCCTTTCTTTCTAAAAATAGCCGCTGAAATTGTCGCAACCCCTATTACTAGCCTGTTCAACCTCTCTTTCGTAACGTCTGAGATCCCCAGAGATTGGAAAGCTGCCGCGGTCATCCCCCTCTTCAAAGGGGGTGACACTCTAGATCCAAACTGTAACAGACCTATATCCATCCTGCCCTGCCTTTCGAAAGTTTTCGAAAGCCAAGTTAACAAACAGATCACCGACCATTTCGAATCCCACCGTACCTTCTCCGCTATGCAATCCGGTTTCCGAGCTGGTCATGGGTGCACCTCAGCCACGCTCAAGGTCCTAAACGATATTATAACTGTGATCGATAATAGACAGTACTGTGCAGCCGTCTTCATCGACCTGGCCAAGGCTTTCGACTCTGTCAACCACCGCATTCTTATTGGCAGATTAAATAGCCTTGGTTTCTCAAATGACTGCCTCGCCTGGTTCACCAACTACTTCTCAGATAGAGTTCAATGTGTCAAATCGGAGGGCCTGTTGTCTGGACCTATGGCAGTCTCTATGGGGGTGCCACAGGGTTAAATTCTTGGGCCGACTCTTTTCTCAGTGTATATCAATGATGTCGCTCTTGCTGCTGGTGACTCTCAGATCCACCTCTACGCAGACGACACCATTTTGTATACATCTGGCCCTTCATTGGACACTGTGTTAACAAACCTCCAAATGAGATTCAATGCCATACAACACTCCTTCCGTAGCCTCCAACTGCTCTTAAACACTAGTAAAACTAAATGCATGCTCTTCAATCGAACGCTGCTGGCACCCGCCCACCCGACTAGAATCAATACTCTCGACGGGTCTGACCTAGAGTATGTGGACAACTACAAATACCTAGGTGTCTGGTTAGACTGTAAACTCTCCTTACAGACTCACATTAAGCATCTCCAATCCTAAATTAAATCTAGAATCGGCTTCCTATTTCACAACAAAGCCTCCTTCACTCATGCTGCCAAACATGCCCTCGTAAAACTGTCTATCCTACCGATCCTTGACTTCGGCGATGTCATTTACAAAATAGCCTCCAACACTCAGCAAATTGGATATAGTCTATCACAGTGCCATCCGTTTTGTCACCAAATCCCCATATACTATCCACCACTGTGACCTGTACGCTCTTGTTGGCTGGTCCTCACTACATATTCGTCGCCAAACCCACTGGCTCCAGGCCATCTATAAATCACTGCTAGGCAAATCTCCGCCTTATCTTAGCTCATTGGTCACCATAGCAACACCCACCCGTAGTATGCGCTCCAGCAGGTATATCTCACTGGTCATCCCCAAAGCCAACACCTCCTTTGGCCGCCATTCCTTCCAGTTCTCTGCTGCCAATGACTGGAACGAACTACAAAAATCTCTGAAGCTGGAGACTCTTATCTCCCTCACTAACTTTAAGCATCAGTTGTCAGAGCACCTTACCGATCACTGCACCTGTACACAGCCCTTCTGAAATTAGCCCACTCAACTACCTCATCCCCATATTGTTATTTATTTTGCTCATTTGCACCCCAGTATCTCTGTTTGCACATCATCTCTTGCACATCTATCATTCCAGTGTTAATACTAATTGTAATTATTTTGCATTATGGCCTATTTATTGCCTTACCTTCATAACTTGCTACATTTGCACACACTGTATATATATTTTCTGTTGTATTTTTGACTTAATGTTTTGTTTACCCCATATGTAACTCTGTGTTGTTGTTTTTATCGTACTGCTTTGCTTTATCTTGGCCAGGTCGCAGTTGTAAATGAGAACTTGTTCTCAACTGGCTTACCTGGTTAAATAAAAGGTTAAATAAAAAAATTATAAAAATAAAAAAATAAGAGAGGTGGGTTTTATTTTTATGTTTTCTGAATGTTCCTGTCTGCTTTTGCCACAGTACCACCAATGAGGTGCTTTTATGGAGGCGTAGGTTAATGTTTAATGGCATTGTAATAGTTACACATTGAGAGCTATTGCCTACATGGTGCTATGTACTGCTCAACTTGCTCAGAGGACCGTGAGAAACCCACTGGCAACCAGTCTGTTCCAGAGGCCTGAGAGACACCAAGGTAAGAGAAGGATCTGATCTTGTACTATTTGGGTGATGGACAGCTCAAAAAAATGCTATAAAGTGTGAGGACATGGAATAATTCAGTCTGATTGGTTTGTGTATTTTCATCAACTGCACCTGTGCTGCATAAGCTAAATGAAGTGTCCAGAGATGTTACATGCATTGAACGCTGTTGCTTTGAAAGGCTGAGGAATTTGCATGGCAGTAAATACATAGCACTGAAGGAAGGTATTATCTTGCTGAGAAATTCCAGTCTTTTGTGTTGCTGGTTAAATTGTGTTGGCCGCAGGCAGCACAAGCTTCACAGAGAGATGTGCTGCATTATGGTGTGCTCACGTATATTGTAGCTACAGTTCTGCAGTGAGGTAGGGTTTGATGCAGGCAACACATCAGCGCTTTGTAACAATGAACAGGTCTCTCTGTTACTGGGGAACAGTCAAGTCAATAAATTCTTCAGTGTCAATATATTTACCAAATGTCCTTAACTAAATTGCTAATAGTGGCAGTCAGTCCTTGTAAAAATTCTGCATCTCAAAGTGGAAATATTCTTCCTTAACAATGATGGGTAATTAGTAGCTTGTGATATGACATTTGTAAAATTAAATGTGTGTGGAAACATAATGTGTTACTATGTTATGTAAAGCATTGTAGATTACAATATTTAACTATGGGGATTGTGTATGTGAGTTGTGAGCATGTGCAATGGTGATAGTTATGGTCAGCTAGAACGGGTCAGATCTTTTGGCAACACTAGATGGGCAGGTTTGTGCGTGGGTGACTGTGCAGTGTTGCCCACTGTAACTGAGATGTGTCTGTATGTGAATTTATCATTCTAGATTCAACAGTAACTCACCTACACCTGGTGCTAGTATCTACTGATGAATGTGACACACTGGGGTGTTAATACACTGGGGTGTTAATTCAGTGATAAAGAGCATATCATTTTCATCGACTGTTGTTGTTAAAGTATCAAATCTGCTCTGTATTCAACACAGACACAGACATGCGCCATAAATGTTGTTTATTGCATGTTGCTTATAAAATCTTAATTAAGAAAAATGCTTATCACATGTTGCTTATTATATGCTGCTGATTGAAATGATATAAATCAATCAAAATAATATAATTTATTCGCAATTCAAAAGTAATGCTGACCAATGTTCTTCAAAGAGAAACACAGTAAACCACACAAAAAACAACACATGTTACAGAATGGGCACAGAACAAAATGATTCTTAGTTTTTTTTATCTAATCTCTTGTTGGTCAGCCTTGGATAGTATGGGTTATGACTGGTGGATTTGTAAAAGTCACACTTGGAGAGTGCCTGTTTTTTCTCATCTTACTTTGGCCTACTTATTCTCTCTGCTATTATTACTTACACTAAGTGTACAAAACACCTTCCTAATATTGAGTTGCACCCCCTTTTACCCTCAGAATAGCCTCGATTTGTCATGGCATGGACTCTACAAGGTGTCAAAAGTGTTCCACAGGGATGCTGGCCTATGTTGACTCCAATACTTCCCACAGTTGTGTCAAGTTGGCTGGATGTCCTTTGGGTGGTGGACCATTCTTGATGCACACGGAAAACTGTTGAGCGTGAAAACACCAGCAGCGTTGCAGTTCTTGACACACTCAAACAGGTGTGCCTGGCACCTACTACCATACCCTGTTCAAAGGTGCTTACATATTTTTCACCCTCTGAATGGGACACATACACAATCCATGTCTCAATTGTCTCAAGGCTTAACCTGTCTCGTCCCTTCATCTACAATCTTTGATGTGAATTTAAAAAGTGACATCAATAAGGGATCATAGCTTTCACCTAGATTCACCTGGTCAGTCTATGTCATGCAAAGAGCATCAAAGGGGGGACTGTAAGATTTAGACTTATGGAATACCAGGAAATACATTTGGAGATGGTTTTGGATACTAAAGTAAAGATTCCTAAAATCAAGAAGTTGCTGCCGTCAAGAAATTGTTGCAGCTCTATACAGTACTGTATGTCCAATATCTGTACAGAACAGTGCAAGCTCTGGAACATTCTCATTAAGGACATCAAAAGGCTCTTATCTGAATTGAAATTGCCAAACAGCTAGATAAAAAACAAACAACAAAAAAACACATGCAGATCTCCTTTTCAAAAGGTAGAGACTACCCTCTCACCCATGGCACATCTGTGTGACTGTACAATACAGTATATATATATTTAACTTTCTTATCGCAACATGTCAAAGCTTGCTATTAGCGTTACTCCAAGGTCAGAATCAAACGTTATTAAACATTCTGCTGACTGGTATCAGTAATAAATATGCCTGTTTTTATTACATGTTTTAGTAAAGTGAACCTTGCCCTCAGTAGGTGGACCTCTAAGGTTACGTTTACACAGGCAGCCAAATTCAGATCTTTTGTCAATAATAGGTCTTCTGACCAATCAGATCAGATCTTTAGAAAATAATTGGGCAAGGAAATCAGAGATGGGATGCCTGCGTAAACCCAGTCTCAGATTTCAACAAAATAAACTATACTGAACAAAAATATAAACGCAACATGCAACAATATCAACGATTTTACTGAGTTACAGTTCATACAATGAAATCAGCCAATTGAAATAAATTCATTAGTCCCTAATTTATGGATTTCACATGAATGGGCAGGGGCACAGCCAGTAAGAATTAGTTTTTTTCAGACAAAAGGGCTTTATTACAGACAGAAATAGTCCTCAGGTTCATCAGCTGTCCAGGTGGCTGGTCTCAGACGATCCTGCAGGCGAAGAAGCCGGATTAGGAGGTCCTGAGCTGGCGTGGTTTCATGTGATCTGCGGTTGTGAGACCGTTTGGACGTACTGCCAAATTCTCTAAAACGACGTTGGAGGCGGCTTATGGTAGAGAAATTCAACATTCAATTCTCTGACAACAGATCTGGTGGACATTCCTGCAGTCAGCATGCCAATTACAAGCTCCCTCAAAACTTGAGAAATCTGTGGCATTGTGTTGTGTGACAAAACTGCACATTTTAGAGTTGCCTTTTATTGTCCCCAGCACAAGGTGCACCTGTGTAATGATCATGCTGTTTAATAAGCTTCTTGATATACCACATCTGTCAGGTGGATGGATTATCTTGGCAAAGGAGAAATGCTCACTAACAGGGATGTAAACAAATTTGTGCATATGGAACATTTATGGCATCTTATTTCACCTCATGAAACATGGGACCAACACTTTACATGCTGCATTTATACTTTTGTTCAGTGTAGTTAGGAGAAAAGTGTATCTTGTTGGGTTGATATACTGAAAGGAGTACTATTGCGTTTACTCTCTAGATAAGGTTAGGACACACTGTTGAATAGTAGTAGTATTAGTATTTATTAGGATCCCCAATTAGCTGCTGCCAAGGAAAACAGAACTCAAAACACAACAAATAAAATACATAATATACTGTACATTTCACTACTTTTACATAATTTAGCAGATGCTCCCATCTATACATTTACATTTACATTTTAGTCATTTAGTAGACGCTCTTATCCAGAGCGACTTACAGTTAGTGCATACATCTTTTTTTTATACTGGCCCCCCGTGGGAATCAAACCCACAACCCTGGCGTTGCAAACACCATGCTCTATCAACTGAGCTACATCCCTGCCGGCCATTCCCTCCCCTACCCTGGACGACGCTGGGCCAATTGTGCGCCGCCCATGAGTCTCCCGGTCGCGGCCGGCTGCGACAGAGCCTGGATTCGAACCAGGATCTCTAGTGGCACAGTTAACACTGCGATGCAGTGCCTTAGATAGCGACCCACAGCTAGTGCATTCATCTCAAGATATCCAGGCGAGACAACCAAGTATCACATATCATTACATAGTACAATACATAATAGAATGCAAAATACATAAAGGTATCTGTGTCTCTTCACAGTCCCCGTCATGCCGTAAGGAGTTATTTTATCTGGTTTTGAATCTGGTTTTATTGCTAGCTTGAGTTACCTGGGGTGACAGAGTTTCATGTAGTCATGGCTCTATTTAATACTGTGCGTTTCCCAGCCTCTGTTCTGGACCTGGGGACTGTGAAAAGACCGCTGGTTGCATATTTTGTGTGGTACAGATGAGTGTCCAAACTGTGTGCCAACTTCTTCAACAGACAGATAGGTACCTTCAACACATCAACACGTCTCACAAAGAGCAATAGTGATGCAGTCAATCTCTCCTCAACTTTGAGCCAGGAGTTATTGACATGCATGTTACTGACATTCGCCCTCCGTGTACATCTAAGTGCAATAGATGCTGCTTTGTTCTGCATCAACTGCAGTTTGCCTATGTCCTTCTTTGCCACACTTGACCACACAGCTGGGCAGTAGTCCAGGTGTGACAAAAATAAGGCCTGTAGGACCTGTCTGGTTGACTGAGATGTGAAGAAAGCAGAGCAACGCCTTATCATGGACATACCTCTTCTCATTTTAGCAACCATTGAGTCTATATGACATCTTGCCATCTAGGGTTACACCCAGCAGTTTAGTCTCCTCAACTTGCTCAATCATCACATTATTCAATAATAGACCTAGATGAGGTTTAGGGTTGAGTGAGTGATTTGTTCCAAAAACGCTTTTAGGTTTTGAGATATTTAGCACCAGCCTATTGCTAGTTACCCATTCTAAAACTGACTGGAGCTCTATGTTAAGGGTGTCAGTTATATATTTTACACAGGTCAGTGGAAGGTCATTAGTAAAAACAGAAAACAATAATGGCCCAAGCCTTCTGCCCTGCGGTACACCACACTCAACCAAATTTGCATTAGATGGACTTCCATTAAAGAAAACCCTATGTGCTCTATTAGCTAGTTAACTCTCAATCTATGATAAGGCAGAGGATGTAAATCCATAACACTTAAGTTTTGTTAACAGTAGGTTATTATCAATGATATCAAAAGCCGCACTGAAGTCTAACAAAACAGCTCCCACAATCTTATTATTATCATCAATTTCTTTTAGCCAATCAACAGTCATTTGTGACAGTGAGGAGTGAGGTGAGTAGTAATGGCATGGTTTCATATCTGAACAGAATGTAAGAATTCATCAACAACTCACATTGTATAGTTGTGATGCACTGTCTTTTGTCTTTGCTCATGTGTTTTGCGATTTTGAGAGTACATTTGTGTGGGGGTGTTTCTATGTGTTTATACTTGTCTAACTCCCTTCAATTGAGATTGACTGTAATATGATGTCCTGTGTTTCCCTGACAGAAAGATGGTCCATAAGTCCATAGTTGTGGGTCTGGTGGTGCTGCTGGTGGCAGCCGTAAGCACGTTTGTGGGTGTCTTCTTTGGGCTGGGGAGCAGGTCGACCTCAAATAACCATTCCTACTCCAGGGCTGCCGTGGCAGCCGATGCTGGCCCATGCTCAGAAATCGGCAGGTAAAAACTCTCACACAAACACATACAGTATATGCAGTACTAGTCTCAAACATTGCCACACCAAGGAATTACTCATTTAAATGTTTTTGTAGACATCCAGATACAATGATCCCTGTTTCAAGGCATGCTGTTCCAAACAGGCCTAATAGCAGAAACCAAGTTTTTCTTGGTCAGAACATACAAATATGCTCCTGCTTCTGAGTCTATTTATGTTCATCCATCATCTCAAATCCTTCCCATTTTGTCATCATAATTCATTCTGTCTGTGTAAACTTCCTGCTGTCTCTTTATGAACTAGTGCATTTGTATGCAAATCAGGGCCACTGAATATAAACTTTTGTCTGCGTGGGTGTGTCTGTAAATTTCAGAGACACATTGCAGAAAGGTGGCTCTGCAGTGGATGCATCTATTGCTGCCTTGCTGTGTGTGGGGCTGATGAATGCCCACAGCATGGGCATTGGAGGAGGACTCTTCTTCACTATCTATGATGCCAAAACTGGTACAGTCTGAGCCCTAATCATTGTATTAAACCTATAACATATTTATTGATGTCAACAAATCCAACAATGACACCTGAACTAAAAACAGGAAATGTAAAAACTTGGTGTGATGTTGTAAAGTTGATTTTGACTTCCTTCAAAGGAAAGGTAGAGACCATTAATTCCAGGGAGACGGCTCCCGCCAACGCAACAGAGGACATGTTTGGGAATAGCACCCAGTTAGCTAAGAAAGGTAATGTTTTACCAGTTACCTAACACCAGAAAATGGATGAAAGATGTACGTTTACGACGAGAGATGGCCTTGCGATAGAGTCAAAAGATACAGAGATAAGAGCGGTACAGTAACGTTTGGCAGTAGGGTTTGGCAGGAGGGTTTGGCAGTAACATTTGGCAGTAACGTTTGGCAGGAGGGTTGTCCATCGCCATACCAGGGGAGATCCGTGGGTACGAGCTGGCACACCATCGCCATGGAAATTTGCCATGGAGAGAGCTGTTCCAGCCTGCAATCCAGTTGGCACGGAAGGGCTTTCCTTTGGGCAGGGCTTTGGCCACTGCTATCTCCAAGAACAGAGAAACCATCACTGGTGACACAGCTTTATGGTGAGAATGCCAAGAAGGGAGACATGATATGGAGTGGTGATCTGAGTTACTGTACAGAGGGTCAAGTTTTCACATGAGGAGATACTTTACCTCCCCTTTTAAGATGATTTTCGCCCTTATTCCCAAACATGAGAGCTCAGTGTCTCATATGTTGTCTCTGACATCTCTGTTTTTGGTCTCTCTTTCAGTGAGGTGTTTTGTGACAAAAATGGTGCCATCCTGAAGGAAAACGACATCATCACCTTTACTAAACTCGCTGACACCTATGAAACAATAGCAAATGAGGGGCCTAATGCTTTTTACGAAGGCCCACTGGCAGAGAACCTTGTGAGGGACATTCAGTCAGCAGGTTGGCATCGCCCTTATTTCTACCAAATATTAACAAACTGCAATTTTGATTGAATTTCATTCAGGGTCTGCTGGCTGTACATGTTAACAGAAACAGTGCCTTATTGTCTGTTTACCGGTATGTGTTTCAGATGGTATCATCACACTTGATGACCTAAAGAACTACAAGCCTTTTTTGGATGAGAGTCCTCTCAATGCTAATGTGGGGGAGTACATAATGTATGTGCCCAATGCCCCAGCCAGTGGCCCTGTCCTGTCCCTCATACTCAACATCCTGGATGGTAAGCCTTCAGCCTGATGACACAGAGTTGCATTCAAGATCAAACTGTGGCCGTTTTTTTTAAGGAGGTTTGGAAAACTATTTGAGTCACATTTGGTCACCCTGTCACTCTCGTGCTATGGTACAAGTGTATAAGAGAGGTGGCAGCTGCTCCAGATAGAAGTAATTAAGAACCAAAGATAATCGTTTTCCCAGCCATCACACCCGAGGCGCCCTGCTCTGCAGGCCTGGTACCTCGTCAGCACTGTTAACTTCGGAAAATGATGCTGAACTGTTCATTTACATTATAGCAGCCCTGGTCTATCTCATCCAATTACTGTATGCACCATATCTCTCTCTTGACAATGCATATTCAGATAGATAACCACCTTCTGTTCGGTGGTGGTGGTGCAGCTGACTGACCAGTAGTTGGGGTGTACATCTCCTCTTCTCATCCCCAGCTCTGTTTCAGCTTCACATTAATGCCTGGGGGTCTATTGGATATCTAGTCCATAGAGTTTCTCCTCCAGACTTCCTCTCTCTGCTTGTTCCCAGTACAGTAGCTATATAATATGACAGTGTCTGTCAGGGGATTAGATGGAAACTTTATTCCAGAGTATTTAAACTCCCTAATTAAACTAAACCATCGCTTCCTGTGGCTCCTCTGCCTGGCCACCCCACTTACTGTGTCTCTCTGCCTCTACTGCAAACACTAATCTGACCGATTTACCTCTAATTGGACACAGACGAGTGGTGGGGGAATCACATAACACTAGCATGCCAGGGCCCGCTCAAGCCCTTCATCCTGACAGTTCACCATGACTTCTGCTACTGCCTGTCAGCTGAAATTCATCAAACAATTCCATTCAGTTACAGTTCTCTCTCGTTTCTCCCATCCTCTACAGCTGTGAACTAAAACAGTTCTAACACTGATAGTCTGGACCTGGGAAACAGAATGAACAGAAGTTTTAAATTGATAGTAAAACCCTTTGAATGTCCACTTCACCTGATCAAATTGAATGTACTGTATTATTGTTTAATAACTGTAATGATGGTGGCTATGGCTACCCTGTTTTCAGGATACAACTTCACCTCAGACAGTGTCTCCAGCACTGAGAAGAAGGTCCTCACGTACCACCGCATGGTCGAGGCCTTCCGATTCGCTTATGCCAAGCGAAGCATGCTGGGAGATCCAAGCTTCCTCAGCATCTCTGATGTAAGTCTCACCCCCATCTTCCCCAGAGTTTATATTCAATAGTTCTCTCAATCACTTACTAATCATATTCAATCAACGGCTCATAGTACTGTATGTATTAGAATGTCATGGGTCAATAAGTTCATGTTCATTGGAGACAGAGTAAATATGGATATGAGTTCAGGTAGGCCTCCGAGCTACAGCAAAAAATAAAAAGGTAAGAGGGATGCTCGACAACAATGACAAAAAAAATCAAACAAAAGGGCTTGCCAAGAAAAACTTCAAAAAGGACTCATTCGAAGTAGAAAGGAGTTTGAGCACTCAACAAAAAAGGAATTCATTTATTTTTCTCAGCATTAATCCATTGGATGAGCAGTTACAGGTGACTGACGTTTCAACGTCAAGCTAACGTCTTCTTTAGAGTGACCCGACAATTGCACTCAACTCCTATTTATAGCCTAGTGGCCTATTGAGACACAACAATGTGAAATTAAACATAAGTGTCAATGGCTAATAATAGCACAAAATAATAATAACAAATATCAGGTATCTCGTCGATTAATAGGCCATACCAAAATAAACAAAGTATTTACATAGGTGATATTTGTTATGGGGATGTAGCTCAGTTGGTAGAGCATGGCGTTTGCAACGCCAGGGTTGTGGGTTCGATAAAATAATGTATGTGCTAACTGTAAGTCGCTCTGGATAAGAGCGTCTGCTAAATGACTAAAATGTAAATGTAATATTTGGGTGTCTGTGAAAATGGCAGCAGAGAGACCCAAGAAATCATGGCAACATTCTAGAAACGAGGACAATGAAAAATCATAGTTTAGCCCCTATTCCTGCACCACAGGAAATGCAGATGAGCGTCGTGATTTACATAGATTCACTGAAAACCCACACTAACACACAGTTATATTAAAAGTTTTGCACTTTTAAAGTAGCCTACATTTGGCCAGCTAATAGCCTAACCACCGATCAAGCAACATTACGTACTTAATGTTCAAATCCTGTTTTCTTGGTAAGCCATTTTATTAAATATGAATATGCTCAGATAAGAGTTGATTGGATTATTGATTGAAATGGACTTCAGTCTTCCAAGAAACACTATTTGTACAGCTGCTATGTTGACATTTCTGTAAACCATTTCTGTAAACCAGTACAGCTTCATCATTCTAGACTGTTCTAAATGGTTGCTTTTATTAATGGGCATTCATTTGAATGGCAGAGACTCATTTTCCAGTCCCCTCTTCTCTTCAGCTCATCCACAACATGACCTCAGATTACTTTGCCGATTCCCTCCGTCAGAAGATAACAGACGATACCACCCATCACATGAACTACTATGAGGCAGAGTACTTTGTCCCCGAGAACCACGGGACAGCACATCTGTCTGTGGTGGCAGAGGACGGGAGTGCAGTGGCAGCCACCAGCACCATCAACCAACTGTAGGAATCAAGTTCCAGTTAAACATTTGATTAGAAAAATGAACTGGAGCTAGTCCTCATTGTCATTATTTCCTATTTCCTTGCTAGTTTTGGCTCCAAAGTCATGTCGCGCTCTACAGGAATCCTCCTCAACAATCAGATGGATGACTTCAGCTCACCCCTCATCACAAATGGCTTTGGAGTGCCTCCTTCACCAAACAACTTCATCAGACCAGGTGAGGGCTACATCTGACTACAGACGCCACACTTTTCAGTTCACCACCCGGCTCTGATAGCCAGAAATTGGTACTTGATGGTGGGTATGGATGGGCCTAATTCCCTTGTTATCTCTCCCCAGGTAAGAGGCCCTTGTCTTCTATGTGTCCAGCCATTCTCTTTGACAAGGGGAGCAAGGAAGTCAAGATGGTGGTGGGGGGCTCAGGAGGAACAAAGATCACCACGGCAACTGCCACGGTAAACCAGGCTGCAATGCCCTTTCGTTGCTGTGTGAAAATACTCATACTTTTGTCATCTGTGACTGAATTGTTGGCTGTTTATTCTGCAGGTGATTCTCAACACGCTGTTCTTTAACTATGACCTGAAGAAAGCTGTGGCAGATCCTAGAATCCACAACCAGCTGAGTCCCAACACCACACTGGGAGAGCCTGGGTTTGACGAGGTAGGTTAGATGATTGATGACAGTGAATTCACATACCCTACAGTGCATAAAAAGGAGTGTCACAATGAGTATGCTTTCCTTACAGAGGGTGATGGCAGGTCTGGCTTTGAAGAACCATGAGACAGAGTTCCTGACAGCCACAGGGGCTGTGGTTCAGGTAGTGGTGCGCCAGGGGGACCAGCTCCATGCTGAATCCGACCCCAGGAAATGGGGCTACGCTGCTGGGTACTGAGACCAACCACAGACCCCTGCTCCCACGAACTGAGGCCAACCACACACCTCTGCTCCCACAGACAGGCTGGCTGATTGGGCTTCTGATTCAGATGAAAGCCACCTCTACAATAGGGCTGTGACAATACCAGTTTCGCAATATTCTTTCCTTAGCAAAAATGAATACACAAAGAAGACCTCTCTTTGGTCCTTTAAAAACCTGTTGTATGTAAAATATTGTGTGCTGTAGCTTGGAAAATATATACGTGACTTTGGATGACAACATAGCCCTAATGTTGGAAACAAACATGATTGTTTTTCTAAAGAAGTTAATCCGCTTCGTGTTTTGTTTTCTTGCCACAATACTAACAAGTATTGCGATACTGGTATAGTCCTGGCCCTACTCTACAGACTATATTTCAAACCAGGAGAAACACATTCAGATTCCTGTCATCGCAGCAATGACCTACGACCTACAGTATGACCTTAGTCCTCTCTGGTAAACCAGGGTCACCTTTCTCCCCTCATTGGTGTCATAAGAAAGTGGAGAGAAGCTACCATCCAACGTCTCCTATCTCATCCTGTTTTTGATGACCAAGTGCCTCAGTCTGAGATCCAGATGCTGAGATAGAGCTATTCATTCTCCACTCTGCTTTACTTAGATTATTATGCAGTACTGTCTGTACCATCTCAATATTTCTTATTCAAAGTACCTCTATTCAATGTTTTACCTTTCACTGCAATGGATTTTCAGTCAGAATAGGAAGGTGCTTTCATTGAGATAGATTATTAAAAACACAGTTTGCCTTAAACCAAATGTTATTTTCTGTAAAATTATTATTATTTGTGTTGCTTTTGAGAAGACTTGCTATTTAAGATCAATAATTCACAAGCCATACCCAAAGAACAGTTGTATGATGTAATTTTTACATGACCGCAACAATCTTATAAACATTGACCAACAATGAAAACACAGGAAGACAGAAACAAAGTTTCAAATAATAAAAAGAGGGCTTACTTCAGGGTTCAATTGTTCTCATGACACGACTGCAAAGTGCAATGTTTGTTTGCATTTGTTAATTTATGTTGGTCAAATACACCATGTAGGCTATACAAATAAATAGAAAGTATTCAGACCCCTTCCCTTTTTCCACATTGTTACGTTAAAGCCTTATACTAAAATTGATTAAATAAAACACAATACCCCATAATAACAAAGCGAAAAACAGGTTTGTGTAAATGTTTGAAAATGTTTTTTTTTTTTAACAAACAGAACTACCATATTTACATAAGTATTCAGACCCTTTGCTATGAGACTCGAAATTGAGCTCAGGTGCATCCTGTTTCCATTGATCATCCTTGAGATGTTTCTACAACCTGATTGGAGTCCACCTGTGGTAAATTCAATTGATTGGACATGATTTGGAAAGGCACACACCTGTCTATATAAAGGTCCCACAGTTGACAGTGCATGTCAGAGCAAAAACCCAGTCATGAGGTCGAAGGAATTGTCCGTAGAGCTCCGAGACAGGATTGTGTTGAGGCACAGATCTGGGGATGGGTACCAAAACATTTCTGCAGCATTGAAGGTCCCCAAGAACAGTGGCCTCCATCATTCTTAAATGGAAGAAGTTTGGATCCACCAAGACTCTCCCTAGAGCTGAGATGGGAGAACCTTCCAGAAGGACAACAATCTCTGCACCACTCCACCAATCAGGCCTTTATGGTAGAGTGGCCAGACGGAAGCCACTCCTCAGTAAAAGGCACATGACAGCCCACTTGGAATTAGCCAAAAGTCACCAAAGGACTCTGACCATGAGAAACAAGATTCTCTGGTCTGATGAAAACAAGAAGAAACTATTTGGTGTGAATACCAAGGGTCACATCTGGAGGAAACCTGTCACCACCCCTACGGTGAAGCATGGTGGTGGCAGCATCATGCTGTGGGGATGTTTTTCAGCGGCAGGGACTGGGAGACTAGTCAGGTTTGAGGGAAAGATCAATGTTTCGGCATCACATTGCCTATACCATGTCAACATATTTATTGATGATAATCTTTTACCTTGTAAGTCTGAGTGTTACAACTTTTTTTACACAATTGTTTTTTTAAAATATATACAGTGCTATGAAAAGGTATTTGCCCCCTTTCTAATTGTCTCTACTTTTGCATATTTGTGATACTGAATGCTATCAGATCTTCAACCAAAACCTAATATTAAAGAAAGGGAACATAAGTGGACAAATAACAATTACATATTTATTTCATAAACAAAGTTATGCAACACCCAATTCCCCTGTGTGAAAAAGTAATTTCCCCCTTACTCAATAACTGGTTGTGCCACCTTTAGCTGCAATGACTCCAACCAAATGCTTCCTGTAGTTGTTGATCAGTCTCTCACGTCGCTGTGGAGGAATTTTGGCCCACTCTTCCATGCAGAACTGCTTTAACTCAGTGACGTGTGGGTTTTCAAGCATGAACTGCTAGTTTCAAGTCCTGCCACAACATCTCAATTGGGATTAGGTCTGGACTTTGACTAGGCCATTCCAAAAACATCCAATTTGATTATTTTTAGCAATTTTCATGTAGACTTGATTGTGTGTTTTGGATCATTGTCTTGCTGCATGATCCAGCTGCGCTTCAGCTTCAGCTCACAGACGGATGGTCTGACATTCTCCTGTAGAATTCTCTGATACAGAGCAGAATTCATGGTTCCTTCTATTAAGGCAAGTCGTCCAGGTCCTGAGGCAGTAAAGCATCCCCAAACCATCACACCACCACGCTTGACCTTTGGTATGATGTTCTTACTGTGGAATGCAGAGTTTGGTTTTCGCCAGGCATTACTGGAACCATGTCCTCCAAAAAGTTATACTTTTGAATCATCTGTCCATAGAACGTTCTTCCAAGAGTCTTGATGATCATCCAGGTGCTTTTTGGCAAACTTGAGTCAACTTTTTGGACAAGATGGGTCCCATTATGCCTGGCGAAAACCAAACACTGCATTCCACAGTAAGAACATCATACCAAAGGTCAAGTATGGTGGTGGTGTGATGGTTTGGGGATGCTTTGCTGCCTCAGGACCTGGACGACTTGCCTTAATAGAAGGAACCATGAATTCTGCTCTGTATCAGAGAATTCTACAGGAGAATGTCAGACCATCCGTCTGTGAGCTGAAGCGCATCTGGGTCATGCAGCAAGACAATGATCCAAAACACACAATCAAGTCTACATGAAAATTGCTAAAAAGCAACACATTTGAAGTTTTGGAATGGTCTAGTCAAAGTCCAGACCTAATCCCAATTGAGATGTTGTGGCAGGACTTGAAACGAGCAGTTCATGCTTGAAAACCCACACGTCACTGAGTTAAAGCAGTTCTGCATGGAAGAGTGGGCCAAAATTCCTCCACAGCGACGTGAGAGACTGATCAACAACTACAGGAAGCATTTGGTTGGAGTCATTGCAGCTAAAGGTGGCACAACCAGTTAGAGTGTAAGGGGGCAATTACTTTTCACACAGGGGAATTGGGTGTTGCATAACTCTGCATTACTGTTCATTAAATAAATGAAATCAATATGTAATTGTTGTGTTATTTGTTCACTTATGTTCCCTTTATCTAATATTAGGTTTTGGTTGAAGATCTAAAAACATTCAGTATCACAAATATGCAAAAGTAGAGAAAATTAGAAAGGGGGCAAATACTTTTCCATAGCACTGTATTGTATGTGTTTACTTGATGCATGTTATTTGGACAGTAAACATGAAACCTTGATTTATATTCTACAAAATGATATTTGGAAATTATGTCATAGAGGATAACAAGAAAACTATTCTCAGTGACACTCAGGGGTATAGTGAATGCGTAACAGACCATATACTCTATAACCAAATATAGTAAACAAAAAGGGACAAGGTCTGTTAGAAAATATTGAACCTGTGTCTATTGTCTTTGGCGTCACGTTTTGGACATAATACGTCAGACTATGGGCAAAGTGAAAATGGGAACAGCATGTGCTGCAGAGCTACACTATTGGACTCTAAAAATCATTTCCCACCAACAGAGTTCAGCAAAAGCGCATGACGTCAACAATACTGTCTCTTCTGACAGGATCATACCACATCTCTCACTGTATTATTAGAGGGAAAGGAACACAAAGCACTTAAACCTTTGGAAAGCAGGATACAAAACAGAGACAAAACTAATAGGCAAAGCTTTTAACAACTATTTTACAGCAACTATTTTACAGCTTTGGCATGCCCTGGACAGAGAACATGCTGTATTGGAGAGTTGATTAACTAAATTAAGCATTTCCACGAGTGTTCGAGATGGTCTGATTCACGAGAGCCTTACTATCATTCAGCTAAACCTGATGAAACACTCCGCCACATACCAAAGACTGAGCTCCTTTACGCCAAATGATCCCACATGAACACCAGACACCAGCACCTAACACTGGCTAGCAGATTTGCATGTTTTCATAATTCACATCTAGTGCCTTGGAGGATCCACTTCGGAGAATATTAATCTTTCATAAGCTCCACTATTGAAACACATCTCATTACTATTGCCTTTGTCTCCATCGGGGGGAAAAAGCTGTTCTCACTTCTTTTAGGGCAAACAGAATAAGTAGAACTAATTAGTATTAATCTCAGATACAACATGCTGAAAGTTAACACAGGTTGAAGTTTTAATAGACCTGGAGGGGGACCAATATAAATCTGTACATTTGTGACAACAGGCCCTGGTGAGGTCAATTAAATACATAAAAAGCTAACACAATACTCTCACTGCATCGACATCAGTGTACATTACTTTTCACATTTTGGTCATATGGGTCATTATAGCATTCGTAAGATTGCACACTATCACTATCTCACCAGTATTCATTCAGACCCTCTAACCAATTTACTTGCTATTTCAGATGTTGATTCTATTACAATGTACTGTGAAGGGGGCTGCAAAAAGCCTGTTTTATCTTAATTAATGTGTGAGTCAGAGTATTGCTACTACACTCCACAGAACGACTAATAAATTAACTCGGAGGATTGTGTTGTTACATGTTCTGCATGAATCCGACAGGTTCTTGTGGTCACAGCATGAGCCCCATGTTACCACAGGCTGACAGGCTGTACTAACCTTCTGTTCCCATGTCAGTTCCTTCAGGACCTCACTTGTGCTATATTGTATGTGTACTGTATGCGTCCTCAAGAACAAACATGTACTGTATGTACTTGGTTAAATTTGAAACTCCATCCATTTGAGTGCCAAAGTCAGAGGCCCCAAAAAAGCCCAAACTCTTTTGTCAAGAGGCACATTTGATTCTTCTTAAGGCTCATGGACTGTTGGTTTAGAAAAATAGTTAATATATAAAGATAACTATAAAAATAAATCTCACTAAAATGATGATGATCCCCTTGGACCTACTGCAGTAACCTGAGGCCTACTATTTGTCTGTAGACCTGAGTAAGGGCATACCTGGTCTTGGTAACCTCTTAGTGTCCTGGTTTTCTATTGGTCAGTAGCCAGCAGCTTTGCCCTGCTTCCTGCCGTCTGACACGGCTGTGATACATCTGTCCTCCTTGGCCACAGCATTGACCACGTTAAAGAAGTATGGGTAGTCCATCACTCTGTGTCCAATTACCTTAAGGGCCTCTATCACAGACTGAAAGCACAGACAGACAGTTAGTCAGGGTGAAAATAAGCACCACTCGCAGTCCCTTACTCATCCCACTTCATGATTTGATTGCGATGAAGCAACACTTATTCAGTGTACATTTCTCAAATGGTCACTGCTCTCAGGCAGTCAATTGCAGTGACCTTTGCTGTCATTTTCATTGGTTAAGAACAGGGGAGAATTACCTTATCAAAGCCAGGCTCAAACTTCACGTTGTTGTTGCCGTCGACAAACACTACAGGAGCAGCAATGGCATCTTTCAAACTCATCCTCAACCAAAGGTGGTTCATGATTGACTGAAAGGAGAGTGAGAGAAAGAGAGCGAGATACGCATTTGATGAGGCCCTATGGATCCCTTTCTCAGTTTTTCAGATGGTGATGGGTTGAGAAGGAACGGTCAGACTTGTGAAATTGGTAGAAATTGAATCTAGACTCACCAGGGCCATGGCGGTGGTGATCATGCTGCCCCCTGATCCCCCAATTACAAGGGTATTTTTCCCAGAGCTGGAGCTCAGTATAGCTGGAGCCATTGAAGAGGGAGGTTGTTCACCTGTGAGAAATTAGATATAATCATTACACAGATATCACCCATAGACATATATAATAGGATATCACCCCATGAATACCAGTTAGAGGTTAGACCTAAGTGATACATTCATTTAAAAACATTTAATCTACCTGCACTGACTCCCTCTGCTCTAAAACAGAAGTCAGCCAGCTCATTGTTAAGGATGATGCCTGTTCTAGGAGAGTAAATTGCTGCACCAAAACTGCAAGGAGAGAAAGGAAGACCGTTTTGTTAGCCGAGTCAAGAGTATACAACTCCAAAAGCTGCAGTGTTAGCTGGTTTGTTTGCCGTCAGGACTGTCGTCATATTCATATTTAGAAGGAGATTGTGTTCTAATACAGTAGACAGTGTTCTATTTAGAGGGATGTAGCTACTGTTCTGCAATGTTCTCTATCTAAGTGAGGGTAGAGATTCACATTTGGTTGATGGTGCTTGTGACAGAGACTGCAGATCCATCTTCAGCCAGGACTGACACGTGTGTGGTCCCAAAGCGGTCAGGGGAAGGTGTGATGTTGTAGTAGGAGTCGTTATATGTACGGTTTTTACTGATCATTACCCTGATCCGATCAGCAAAATCTGAGTCCACCATATACGATGCATCCTATATATAAAAATTAAAAAATCACCTATTAGTGAGTGAAAGTACAGAATACACTTAAAGACAGGCAGTTCTCTCAGATCCTTACTTTTTTAGTGTTGAAGACAGGATCGCGGACGCGTCTCCTCTGTCCGTTAGCAAATTTAGCTGCCTCTATGTAGCGGTGATAGGTCAGGACTTTCTGGTCCCCCTCCATGGACCTGGAGGTGAAATGGAACCCTGGGAAAGGTCACAAACAGCCATTCAAATCTCTACTACCTGGTGAAGAGACATTTTGGAAAAGTTCAATGACTGTGAGCTACCACGATGACTTGAGAAAGTATTTTATTATGCACCTTTAATGATGTTGAGAATAAAGGCAAGCATGGCTCCCCCTGCTGGAGGTGGAGGGATGTGCATCTGGTAATCTCCCAGAGGAACTGTCCAGGCATCTTCCACTCTGACTCGGAATGACTTCAGATCCTCCATGGTTAGAGTCCCACCTAAAACATAATGGGGAGCAAAATATGTCTAACCAAGTTAGCACAGACAAGAAAATATAACAAGCTGGCGTTTTCATATACATTTTTGAGTCTCTCTCTCTCTCTCACACACACAAACCTCACCCACCTGCTGCTTTTACATCTTGGATCAAGTCAAGTCCAATTTGGCCATTGTAAAAGGCATCCGCTCCTTGTTCTGCAATGGTTTCCATGGTTTCCGCCAGCTTAGGGAACTTCAATGTGTCCCCCATGCCCAGCACCGTTTTGTTCTTGTTGCAGAACACCTCACTGGAAGAGGGGAATGCATTAATTATACCATAGCAACCATAAACAGGGAAAAGACCAGAGAACAAACATAAACATGCACATGTAGCCAATGCCATAGCCTATTATATGGATGTAATGCGACTTCACTGGATTACAGGGATAGAACAGAGAATTAGCTACCGTCAACAAACAAACATTAGATCTCTGTTTACGACCTAGTTTCATAAAAATCTCCCTTCCTAAGCAGCGTGTGCAAACCCATTAGCATCTCAAATGATCCCTGAGTATATGTGAATCCCCCTCTCCATCTGCTGGGGTGCCAAGGGCACTTTCTCTATGCAGATCCTGTGCTACTGCTTACACTTCTGTTCTGTAAGAGGAGGAGAGAGGGGAGGAGAGCGGGAGGGAGAGGAGCTAAGGGGAGACGACCCCCTTTGATGTTAATCCCAGGGCTGGGCTTTAGGAAAGCCTCTGCAGTCTGTCTGTGTATAATATCACACAACCATACGGATGAGAACTTGGTCTGAGCCAACGGATAAAGCAGAACGAGCTTATTATTAGCTTCATTGCTAGTGTAAAAGGACTGGATATCTGGACTTTTCTGACAGATACTTTGAAACAACTTTGCTGACTTTTCATTTGGACAAATGCCTGTTTGAGGTAGGAGTATGGTTAGAATGAAAACAAAATCGAACACATTTGAGTTCCTGTGTGTAAGTGTGAGATGTTGTACTACCAGAGTGATGTTGCTTTCACCCGGTTTTCTATGATTGTGATGTTAAGGAGGCGTCCCAGGTAGGGCGGCAGAGGGAATCCCTCTCTGGCCAGTCTAATGGTGGGCTCAAACAGCTTGGCCCAGGGCAGCTTCCCATACTGTCTGTGAACCACCTCATACCCACGCAACTCTCCAGGAACACCAATCCATTGACTACCTACCAGGGGCCACAGAGACAGAAGAGGCGTAAAACACAAGCAAAAAGAGACGTGATGCCACAATCCAGGACAGAGAGCAAGAGTAGAAATGAAAGGGATACCGAAATGGGCTTGTGGTTTGTTCACATTTGATGTTAGAAAGGCTAAAAGACATTACTATTTTAGTGGTCTTGGAGTTATTTGAATCAGTTATTGTTGTCATGCAATGTTTACACATTCATACTGTATATTGATCCATCCATCAATCCATTCATTCATTAATTCCTCCATCGATTGGCAAGTCTACCTACCTGTGATAAATTTGAAAGATGTGGGACAGCCCTTCAGCAGGTCAGCTTTGAATAACTGTGGGACAGTCTCTCTCGAACTGAAGGTTTTCACCTTACCTGAGAATAGATAGATAGAGATGTAGAGGATACACAATTCCACCAAACATTATTGGCTGAACCCTGCACAGTACAGTAACACAGAAGCAAAAAACAGTAAAGAACATACTCACCAATTTCGTCCCTAACAGTGAATATAGAGCCTCCTCCCAGGCCCATGCTCTGAGGATTGACCAGTGAGGTGCACAACAGAGCTGCAATGGCGCCATCTACTGCCGACCCTCCTTGTAGCAGTATGTCTCTGGAAACACAGCACACATTGCACTCAGTATAACTTAAATGCTCCACTATAAAACAATACTTGACAGTATAACACTGACTGTGCGTGCATAGGCTACACACACACACTTCAGTTTCCTGTAGTTGAGTAATTTTACTGTTGACCTGAGACTTATTTTAAGTTCTAGGGAAAGTCAGAATGACAAATCACATGCCAAGAGGCAAGTTTGGGCCATGCACAATGTCTCACCCCCAGAGTTCAGCCAACAGAGGAAACCGACTATTTCTGACTACCACTCATTATATCTAACACGTTACTTTTATATGGATCCCTGTTTTCACTTTGGTCGCTGGAGGATTTTCTTTTTTGACAAACAGAAGTTGTTTGATCAGGGTTACAATAAAGATGGTCATAATCACTGAGGATGACAAACATTTGCCAACTGATGAATTTGCCTGGGGGTCATTGAATGAAAAGAACAAGTTACTCTTTCAGATAGAAAGCAAAGAGGACCCAGTCAAATAATCTAATATACCTATATAACCTCTCTCTATGGGAGCAAAATTCAAAACACAATACTTTTCTCCTCAGTCTAAGAACACAAGTTCAAGTGAAGTATTCACTGGAATTCTGTTTCTACTGTTGTCTCGCCATTTCCTGTTAATGGAACAGTATTATTGGCATGGGCTCACTGGTGAAACAGATCCTACATCTACACGAGCAAACAAAACAATAAGAACACCGGCTCTTCCCATGATAAATACTGACTAAGTGAATCCAGGTGAAAGCCAGGACCCCTTATTGACATCTGGCAGGACATTTCCGGGTCATTAAAATAGGGTCACACAAATATTATGATACAGCTATTAAAAGCCTTGTGTCCTTTCTCCTTTCCTGTCTTTGTTAAACAACAATATAGGGGACAGTAGAGGGGATCTGCCATGGTGCCAACACACAGCTTGTTTGGTTTGTACATGTACACTCAGCGGGAATGTCCCGCCAGACAGAAGTATGTCCAACTATAAATGTCCTTAGATCCTCTCTCCTCCAGTCAGGTGGTGCATGTTGGGTAATCTGGACCCCTTGAGTGTCTTCATGCCTCATTGATTGCTAAAGATAAAGATAGTTTCACATGACTGAAGAAGGAAATGGATTGCTGAAGAGTGACAATTTTTGCAGCCGATAGTATTAGTATCTAGCTGCAGCACCGCAGCAACTTGTCACTAAAACCTATAATATCACCATTTACTGGCTGTGGTTAATCCTTACCACATACATGTGAACTCATTTATCCAGAGCAATTTAAAGCAGGGGTTCCCAAACTTTTTTTCTTCCAACTTACCTACCTCCCTTCCCTCTCTCTCTTTCCTTATCTCATTTCCTAGCTTCCTTTTCCTCCCTACCTCCCTTTCCTGTCCTGTCCTAGCTCCCTTTAATTGCTTCCTTACCTCCTTTTCTTTCCTATAATTATTTACTCACTCCCTCTCTTTTCCAACTTTCCTAGCTTCCTTTCCTCCTTTCCTAGGATTAACCACAGCCAGAGGAAAGGAAAGGAAGTTAGGAAAGTGAGCTAGGAAAGGAGATATGGAAGGAGGAAAGGAAAGGAAGGTAGGGAAGGAGGAGAAGGGAGGTAGGGAAGGAAAGGAAGCGAGGTAAGGATGGAAAAGAAAGGGAGCTAGAAAGTGAGGAAAGGAAAAAAGGAAAGGAATCTAGGAAAGACATGGAAGAGTTCACATGTATGTGGTAGGGATTAACCATGGCCAGTAGATGGCGATAGTATTGGTTTTAGTGACAGGCTGGTTTTAGTCACATGTTGCTCCGTGCCTGCAGCTGGATGCATCTCGCCAAAAGGGGAAATATTATGACCTATAACACAGAAAAGCAAGGTGTGTGTGCTACCGCTACCTGCTCAGCTAACAAAGCTGCATGTTTTCTGTTGCTGGGGAGCTAACTTCAAGCTTGATTTCATGCTACTTATTTAGGGTCATGGTAGCCCTCGCCCTCATTAACAAAATGGTAATGCCAAGTTGGGAATTATTTACATTTTAGTCATTTCAGACACTCTTATCCAGAGCGACTTACAGTTAGTGCATACATTTTTCATACTGACCCCGGTGGGAATCGAACCCACAACCCTGGCGTTACAAGCGCCATGCTCTACCAACTGAGCTACAGGAGGCCTAGATTATATCAAAGGAATATAAAGCTCAAGCCACTGAGTACACGAAAAATGTCAGCGTGTTTAAAATACATGGGGAAAAGTCACCTGATAAAAAAACATGAATGTTTATTATAGGCATAAATGTTCTGAATTTACAGACATTGCCGTTGACTGGCACACTTGATTTTTTTTGTTGTAATACAAGTAAAGCTATAGATATGATCATTTACAGTTGAAGTCACTTGGGTTCAAAGCAATGAATAGTTCTACAGCACATAATCTCCATGACAGCCTATGAAATCTCTTAATCTGCTTACTGTTCACAAGTCTACATTTTATATCTCACAGCACCTTGGCTACCGGTTGAAAATAAATAGTTTACACAGATTATAATCACTGCATTAAAGATTGAGTATCCCTGCTAAAATGAAATTTCAATTTATGTTGTACAGTACAGGATATTGAAGCTATAGAGATCAGTTGAGCCATTTTACCAAACACATATTGATAAGTGAAAACTTCAAATAAGATGTTTAAAAGAAATCACAAACTGTACCTTCTTAGAAAAAAAGGTGCTATCTAGAACCTAAACGGGTTCTTCAGCTGTCCCAATAGGAGAACCCTTTGAATAACTATTCTTGGTTTCAGGTAGAACCCTTTTCGGTTCCATGTAAAACTCTGTTAAGGGTTCTACCTGGAACCAAAATGGGTTCTAACTGGAACCAAAAAGTATTATCCAATGGGGACAGCTGAAGAACCCCTTTGGAACCCTTTTTTCTAAGAGTGTATCTAAGCAAAGCGACCGTACTCTACTTTACCTGCCAATGTCTGAGCAAAGTTGAGAGTCCGTAGAAACCGCCGCGTTCTTGAAGGTGTCCTCGGAGCATCCTCGGTCGATAAATACATCGAAGACTATGCAGAGACAAATGGAAATTATAGCACCCAATAAACCGATACAGAGACAGCAACCAACCTGCCAGGGCTTATATTTGGCCATGCTTTCAGGAGAAAAACTTTTCTAAGAACAATTGTCCCAAAGAGCGCGTGGTACAGTAGCCATGCGCCCTCCTATTTATACACCAAATCCCCCCCCCCCACATGAAAAAAAAAAAAAAATCAGTGCTCAAGAAGTTAAAGTGAACGTGGTTCTCTCTTGAGCCATGCCAGATACTAGATGACATTGTAGGGAATGTGGCATATTATACATTTAATAGGCTTATCATCCATGTTTTAAACCAGGGTGTTCAACCGGGGGTCCGCAGACGGAGGAGGGTCCGCGAAAAATATAAAAATATATATGAATATCGCTAGCAACAACAGAATAAACAACATTTGAATTACATATCTACAATAGAAAAGAGGAGAATATCTGATGTCAACTATTTCTTAACTACTAATATTGCGCAAATTACAGTAGGGTGGCTTGGGGCCAAACGCCCCCCTCCTCCTCCTCCTCCTCCTCCTCCTCCTCCTGTTATTCTCACATAATTGTTTCCTGTGTGTCACTACTCTTGCTCAACAAAAAATCTGTCTCATCTGAACTTTTTAAGTCACTACAACAAAATGATTTTGAGGTACATAGATCTAATATTTTGTCATTTAGAATAAGTTATATATACAGAACCAGTCAAAAGTTTGGACACATGTCACGGATTCCCCCGGTACTGCTGCTCATTCCGTTCACCAGCTCCGGAGTTCTACGTCACCAGCCTTCTAGGCATCACTGACCTGGTTCATTACCACCCACCCCAGACTGTCTCATTACGCACACCTGGTTCCCATTCCCCCTGATTAGTAGGCGTGTGCCCTCTGTTCCCCATTGCCCTTCTCAATTATTGTAAATTATTGTATAATGTCCGTTGGTCTCGTGAGTACCGTGTATTGTGCTCTAGTTATTACGGGTCTCCTCCGGTGTATTGTTTAGAGGTTTACACCTCGCTTGGGTGGAGTAATAAAAAACCCTAATACGTCTTCCTGCGCCTGTCTTCTAATCATTATACAACTTGACAACACAGCTACTCATTCAAGGGTTTTCTTATTTTTTAAAAACTATTTTCTACATTGTAAAATAATAGTGAAGACATCAAAACTATGAAATAACACATATGGAATGACGTAGTAACCAAGAAAGTATTAAACAAATCAAAATATATTTTGGATTCTTCAAAGTAGCCACCCTTTGCCTTGATGACATCTTTGCACACTCTTGGCATTCTCTCAACCAGCTTCACCTGGAATGCTTTTCCAACAGTCTTAAAGGAGTTCCCACATATGCTGTTGGCTGCTTTTCCTTCACTCTGCGGTCCAACTCATCCCAAACCATCTCAATTGGGTTAAGATCGGGTGATTGTGGAGGCCAGGTCATCTGATGCAGCACTCCAGCACTCCATCACAAATTATAGTCCCACTAAACGCAAACCAGATGGGATGGCGTATCGCTGCAGAATGCTGTGGTAGCCATGCTGGTTAAGTGTGCCTTGAATTCTAAATAAATCACTGACAGTGTCCCCAGCAAAGCACCATCACACCTCCTCCTCCATTCTTCACGGTGGGAACCACACATGCGGAGATCATCTGTTTACCTACCCTGTGTCTCACAAAGACACAGCGTTTGGAACCATAAATCTCCAATTTGGACTCCAGACCAAAGGACACATTTCCACCGGTCTAATGTCCATTGCTTGTGTTTCTTGGCTAAAGCACATCTCTTCTTCTTATTGGTGTCCTTTAGTAGTGGTTTCTTTGCAGCAATTCGACCATGAAGGCCTGATTCACACAGTTTCCTCTGAACAGTTGATGTTGAGATGTGTCTGTTACTTGAACTCTGTGAAGCATTTATTTGGGCTGCAACTTCTGAGGCTGGTAACTCTAATGAACTTATCCTCTACAGCAGAGGTAACTCTGGGTCTTTCATTCCTGTGGCGGTCCTCATGAGAGCCAGTTTCATCATAGCGCTTGATGGTTTTTGCGACTGCCTTGATAAGTTCCTTTCCTGAGGATGACTCACCCCTCACAGTTCTGGGGAATTTCAACCTCCCTACGTCTACATTTGACTCATTTCTCTCTTCCTCCTTCTTTCCACTCCTCTCCTCTTTTGACCTCACCCTCTCACCGTCCCCCCCTACTCACAAGGCAGGCAATACGCTTGACCTCATCTTTACTAGATGCTGTTCTTCTACTAATCTCACTGCAACTCCCCTCCAAGTCTCCGACCACTACTTTGTATCCTTTTCTCTCTCCCTCTCCTCCAACACTACTCACTCTGCCCCTACACAGATGGTAATGCGCCGTCGCAACCTTCGCTCTCTCTCTCCCACTACTCTCTCCTCTTCCATCCTATCATCTCTTCCCTCTGCTCAATCCTTCTCCCTCCAATCTCCTGATTCTGCCTCCTCAACCCTCCTCTCCTCCCTTTCTGCATGATTTGACTCTCTATGTCCCCTATCCTCCCGGCCGGCTCGGTCCTCCCCTCCAGCTCCGTGGCTTGATGACTCATTGCGAGCTCACAGAACAGAGCTCCGGGCAGCTGAGCGGAAATGGAAGAAAACTAGACTCCCTGCTGACCTGGCATCTTTTCACTCCCTCCTCTCTACATTTTCTTCATCTGTTTCTGCTGCTAAGGCCACTTTCTACCACTCTAAATTCCAAGCATCTGCCTCTAACCCTAGGAAGCTCTTTGCCACATTCTCCTCCCTGCTGAATCCCCCCCCCCTCTCTGTGGATGACTTCGTCAACCATTTTGAAAAGAAGGTTGACGACATCCGATCCTCGTTTGTTAAGTCAAATGACACTGCTGGTCCTGCTCACACTGCCCTACCCTATGCTTTGACTTCTTTCTCCCCTCTCTCTCCAGATAAAATCTTGCGACTTGTGACGGCAGGCCGCCCAACAACCTGCCCGCTTGACCCTATCCCCTACTCTCTTCTCCAGACCATCTCCGGTGACCTTCTCCCTTACCTCACCTCGCTGATCAACTCATCCTTGACCGCTGGCTATGTCCCTTCCGTCTTCAAGAGAGCGAGAGTTGCACCCCTTCTCAAAAAAACAACACTCGATCCCTCTGATGTCAACAACTACAGACCAGTATCCCTTCTTTCTTTTCTCTCCAAAACTATTGAGCGTGCCGTCTTTAGCCAACTCTCTTGCTATCTCTCTCAGAATGACCTACTTGATCCAAACCAGTCAGGTTTCAAGACTGGTCATTCAACTGAGACTGCTCTTCTCTGTGTCACAGAGGCTCTCCGCACTGCTAAAGCTAACTCTCTCTCCTCTGCTCTTGTCCTTCTAGACCTGTCTGCTGCCTTTGATACTGTGAACCATCAGATCCTCCTCTCCACCCTCTCCGAGCTGGGCATCTCCGGCGCGGCTCACTCTTGGATTGCGTCCTACCTGACCGGTCGCTCCTACCAAGTGGCGTGGCGAGAAGCTGTCTCCGCACCACGTGCTCTCACCACTGGTGTCCCCCAGGGCTCAGTTCTAGGCCCTCTCCTATTCTCGCTATACACCAAGTCACTTGGCTCTGTCATATCCTCACATGGCCTCTCCTATCATTGCTACGCTGACGACACACAACTAATCTTCTCCTTTCCCCCTTCTGATAACCAGGTGGCGAATCGCATCTCTGCATGTCTGGCAGACATATCAGTATGGATGACGGATCACCACCTCAAGCTGAACCTCTGCAAGACGGAGCTGCTCTTCCTCCCGGGGAAGGACTGCCCGTTCCATGATCTCGCCATCACGGTTGACAACTCCATTGTGTCCTCCTCCCAGAGTGCGAAGAGCCTTGGCGTGACCCTGGACAACACCTTGTCGTTCTCCGCTAACATCAAGGCGGTGACCCGATCCTGTAGGTTCATGCTCTACAACATTCGGAGAGTACGACCCTGCCTTACACAGGAAGCGGCACAGGTCCTAATCCAGGCACTTGTCATCTCCCGTCTGGATTACTGCAACTCGCTGTTGGCTGGGCTCCCTGCCTGTGCCATTAAACCCCTACAACTCATCCAGAATGACGCAGCCCATCTGGTGTTCAACCTTCCCAAGTTCTCTCATGTCACCCCGCTCCTCCGCACACTCCACTGGCTTCCAGTTGAAGCTCGCATCTGCTACAAGTCCATGGTGCTTGCCTACGGAGCTGTGAGGGGAACGGCACCTCCGTACCTTCAGGCTCTGATCAGTCCCTACACCCAAACGAGGGCACTGCGTTCATCCACCTCTGGCCTGCTGGCTCCCCTACCTCTGCGGAAGCATAGTTCCCGCTCAGCCCAGTCAAAACTGTTCGCTGCTCTGGCACCCCAATGGTGGAACAAGCTCCCTCACGACGCCAGGACAGCGGTGTCACTCACCAGCTTCCGGAGACATTTGAAACCCCACCTCTTTAAGGAATACCTGGGATAGGATAAAGTAATCCTTCAACCCCCCCCCCCCCCCCCCCCCCCCCCCCTTTCCTCCACCCCCCCCCCCCCCCCCCCCCCAAAAAAAAAAAATTACAAAAAAATTGTAAAGTGGTTGTCCCACTGGCTATAAGGTGAATGCACCTATTTGTAAGTCGCTCTGGATAAGAGCGTCTGCTAAATCACGTAAATGTAAATGTAAAAATGTATATTTCATAGTTTTGATGTCTTCACTATTATTCTACAATATAGAAAATAGTAAAAATAAAGAACAACCCTTGAATGAGTAGGTGTGTCCAAACTTTGACTGGTACTGAATGTAATCTAATGAAGTTAGAGCTATAAACCTTTTTATATATACCAGTAGGGGCGCCCTGTTTCAAACATTTGAACTAGGCCTAATTGAAATAGTTGTAGTAAATAACTTAATGTAAAGAATAAATACAAAATAATTCTGCATTTTAGCAACTTTTTAAAGTTTCATTCATTGGTTGCTGAGTGCAACAAGTGCTCTCCAATTGCTATCTACATTTGTAATATGCTTACTATTGCTAGGCATCAGTTAGCCTCTGTTTGCTATTTTGTTCAGCAAGCAGTATATTATGTATGTACTTCGTATGTGCTGTACGTGCTTTGTGTGAACAGACTAAGAGAGTATATATATATACAG